CTAAACGCTGCGACAGACATACTCCAAAGCCCAGCAGGATCTTTTATTTCCCATTTTAACTCCCCTCTCTTCCCTCCCCCTCCAGTCCATTTTTCACCCCCCTTCAATCATCCGAGGACCACCACCAAAAACGACAACCCTGATTAGTGTCTCATCAAACAATCTTCCCAATGTGAAGGCTGATGCAGGCTATGTTCTCGGCAGCAAACGATGCAATGTATACTCTGCACTAAATGCCCATTGAACGTATCTCTCGTTCCATCCAAAAGGTCTATTGTTGTCTTTCTAGAGTGGCTTTGGAACTGTAACAATGTCTTTATACGGCCATCTCGTCTATTATTGCAAGTGTTTATTAGCAATGCCAGGAATTATGCAACATTGAAGAGGGACCTGCAAACTTTAGATCACAATTGCAAACTTAATTTAAAAAGCTGAGTTAAAAGATTTTTCTTATACTCCTGTAGGTAATAGTCTGGGAGTTTTGTAAAATATACAACTAAAACAGGCACAGTGTTATCTCTCTCTCTCTCTCTCTCGGGAGAGAGAGAGAGAGAGAGAGAGAGAGAATATTTGCTCTAGGAATATGGTTTCTTAACAGGTTACACCCACGCTAAATAAATAGCATTACAAAAGTAGGAGAGTAACATGCAATACAGCATGTGACTGGAAAATGTCTCTCCATAAGTATAACAAGTAAACAGTATATACCTAAATGCTACGTTTATTATAAAATATTGACACATATATACAGACATTTTACCACGTATGCAGTATAAACACATAATAGAATACTATATGACTCATTGCTGGAATGCTTGAACAGTACTCTGTATAAATCTGTGATCGATATGTGGAAAGTCACCTGTTATAAGTGGAACAGCTACATTTTCTTTCATCCTGGGATTTTGTTCAATATCACAAAATATGATAATTGCACAGGGGTAACTGCAGATTCCTCATACATGGAGGATCCATTTACTGCTCAGGTTTTCCTGTTTATCAGAGTTATTCACTAAACTGAGAATTGTCATACATTCAAAATGAATTCCAGATGTAAGGACAAACTAGCCGAACTGGAAACAGAGCTGACAGCAGATTTTTCCACATCGGCTATTGTGGCCTTAATTTTGAAATTCCAAACATTCCAAAACATTTCTCACTTTAACAATGACAATGTGTTTACTGTTTGATTATTTTATTAACTGGTCTATTCAATTGATATTAAAATGCACATTTTACTTTCAGCAAGGAAAACACAATGGGGTCACATCAGAGAGGGGGAGGGTGGGGGTAACAGGCAATGCCGAGGTTTCAAATATATTAGGATACTGGAGAAATTTTACAAATATATCTCCTCAAATATATATATAAAACCACAGTTGTATCCAATGACTGCAGTAAACTTTGTTAAAACCTGCAGTGGATCATGCTGCAGCCAAATAGCCAGCACATAGTAACTGTGCACATAGTTTGAAGCCAGTTTTTTAGGGGGGCTTAAATTACAAATGTCTTACACGCTACTCAGAGTGCTGAACCGCTACAGCCTATCCGGCTTCAGAATTTCTTATTATATTACAAGGACACAATTATTATTACACATCCTTATTAAGGGACAGTCCTGTTAAACCTGATCCTGATAACAGTTAGAAGGTAAACTCAGCAAAATGGACAATGGTGCACGTTGAGTAAGGTGTTTTACCTTTTGTGCTCTACACTCCATATTTAATGGATAAACATATAAAAAATTTTTTTTTTTTTTTTTTTTTTTAAATGCAAATTACCTTAAATGGTTGCAGTTGATGGCATATTATATGGTAAATAAAATCTGCATTTCATTATGTCCCAAGCTCAGAGCGTGCACTACAACATTGCAGCATTGTTTTCATTCATTAAGTATTTTAGATTATGAAATTACGTTAATGCAGGACTACTGCCATGACAAGAAGTATGAAACCTTTTTTTTAAAACAAAGTTGAAATCTGTTTCAGTGTTGTAGGGTTGCACAGATGATGTTTCTTTAAAGTGACAGTAAAGGAAAAATAAAAATCCTCTAAAAGCTAATGTGAGTGAAATAAATATTGAACACGCTAAACAAATGGTACCACCTGCTTTATTTTCTATAGCCTTAACATAACCTTTGTTATCACTTGCTCCAAATAGAATTTCTTTAGTTGACAGGGAGTTGGATGGACACTTTCTCTAGGCCTCCTAATCAAAGAAAAAGTAATAGAGAAGGCATGGCTATCAATGGTAGATGTAGGCTCTACAATAAGGAGTATTCTAAACCATAGCCACTGATTTAGAGACAAACAGCACCCCACTGATCTCCTCCATCAATTCCTCCCCTCTTTTCTGTCTCGGTCCAGCACCTCTTGTAATAACCAGTTATCCTAATTGTTCAGCTTCAAGTTCTCTGTAAAACCCGCCAATCCACTAAAACATTCTCCTGTGCAGGTCACTGCCTTAGTGTGGGTCCTCACAAAGTTCATTGTTTGTAATAATTACTGTGTATTGATTTGTTTGGTATGCCATTAATATAGAGCTCTGAGAGAGATACAGATCTGCATAAATAACGATCAGACGGGTATAGTATTGTTCTCTGAAAATCCTTATAACACTTCCATAATATATATATTGCTCTTAGTCTGCATTCCATGTGTTACTGCTATAAAAATGTAATAAACATAACATAATGCCAGTAAACAAAAATATCCCACAATTCCATATTGTCATCCCATTAATACATGCCTGTTCCTTTTGGCAGTGTGTAGATTATATTGATTGTTGAGTGTAGGAAAGTGGATGATGGCAGCCTGTGAGTTTAATTTAGTGATGTATTTTGATGATAGTAATATGCACATGGTTTAGGGACGCCTGGAGTTTGGTGATACTTACACGTCCTGCAGGTGCAGCTGTGAATTGTTAGGTGACAGAACCCCGCTCTGATGGCTTCCATTGGTACTACACAGCTTTCAACTAAATACACATGAGGTTTTATAATGCATGTTAGGAAGAGTACACAGTCTTGGGCTCGGTTGGTTGTGACATGTTATGGTTGGTTATCACATGTGGAAGAGGGGCTTTGGGGTCTGTAGCTCCAGATTCAGAGTCCAACCTTTACAGTTGATGGAGGCAGCAAGAGGATGTCAGTTTTTTTTTTTAAATTTTAAATTTTATATTTTAAATTTAACATCAGTGAGCGGCAACTCCAAGCAGCCACCAATTATAAAAAGAAAGATCAATAGCATAGCTCCACCAGGCTTCTATCAGGAGATACCCTAACATGCAACCCTAAAGTTAACAGTAAAGGAGCACTTACTGGTCCTTAGAGTGGCCGGGCTAGTGTCTAAGACAGATGAATGAAATGTCTGCAAGCATACAGAGAGTGAATGAGAGACAGGCCAAGGTCTAGGATAACAGAGATACACTGAATCGATAGTCAGGCCAAAGTCAGGATAACAGAGAGCAAGAATGGTCAAACAAACCGAGGTCAGAAACCAGTAAATCCAATACACAGTATAAACACACTCTCGGATAACAAGAACAACCAGGAAGTATCATTATACTGGGCTGTGATTGGTTACACAAGGTCATGATGTCACAAGTCTGACTGACATTATAAATGGAAACCAATAGAATATATGATGTCATAATAAGGTATGAAAGTTTCCGGGTTCTAAACAGCCTTCCGAGAGGGAACAAACTGTGCCCAGCCAACAGCAGTAGAGCTTTTTTATTGTGCAAGCACAGGTTGTTCTAAAACAATGGTGAACAGACGCAAGAACAACATCCACAGACATTGATAAACCAGGAATACAATTTATTTAGATTATGATATTTCTTTACATACTAAATCCTCTGTTATTGTGGTATGTGAAACAATTATGCACCACATCGAAACAATGAATATCAGTAGAAATGATTAAGAAGTAGACCATTTATTTACACATCATCCAAAATGCAGTTGTTATTTAAAATCCAGTTTGTGCAGAATGCAATTTGTGTTTGTTTTTTGTTAGGTTTTGCAGTATGAAGTCATGTTTTGTAGGTGTTTTGTTTGAAAGTTTTCCAGTTTGAGCAGAGAACAGGAGCCAATGAAGTGTGAAGGTTAAACAACTGTTTATTTTTTTTTTTTATTTTAACCGTATGTCAACACAAATTAGCATAGTTTTACCAAGAAAAGGGGCATGTGTGAATCAATGGATTCATAATACGCAGCGCTTGGATATAATGTCTACAATGAAACTGTGAAAGTGGGGAAAACACGTAGCATGCTTTTATTTGTAACAGCATGTCCAGAAAATCTCCACATACACATCAGACACCGTGCCTTGGGAATGCACTGTATTGTTGGCTTGACATTTAAAACAATGCACCTGACCTATTTGAGATTTAACAGAACTAATAGAAAGTCATTGTGTTTATTATTTATAGAAGATTCTCTTCAGATTAAGATGTCTGCTGACGCCGTGCATACACTACCATGCAGATGTGTTTGGGCAGAGAGACAGATAAAACACTGATAGATTCTGATATATTGAGTGAGATTTGCCATGGTAATGCTGTGTACAGCTATGCATGTGTGCACTTTGGAAACATAGGGTTAATGACGTACGCACACATTCTGGAAGGGCCGAAAGCAGCTTGAAGTTAATGCAAGCCATTTTTCTTTGTATTATTTCATTAAGTGGGATCTCACTAAACTTCCTCCCAGAATTTCTCCGCAGCACCACATTTTTTTCTAGTGAAACTATAAATCATTGGCCTAAATTACAATGTAATTATAAATGCCTTGCAATCTAATGCTGCACAGGACCTTTTACCCTCCAACATAATTCTAAAAAATTGCCCGTCATAATTTTGTTCCCTAGAATAAATATGGAGCGGCAGAATCCTGGATTCCACTATCTGATAATTTAATACAGGATTCAATTACTATTCAGAATACAATCAGGCCAATAATAATGGCAATCTTCAGTAGTGACCCATCCCTACACTGTCTCGGTCTCTCTGTGTATGTACAGGCCTATACTCATTTCTACTTCAAATCATTTTCAATTTTTATTTCCCACATTTTATTTATAATGTGATGGTAATTATATTGAACTTGATGAAAAAAGGTTGTGCATTGACAGCACCATAAGGGGTAAGGCAACCTTTTTACACAACACAGTTGCCTTGGGCATGAATGTAGCGATCTCATATAACCTGAGAGACTCATAATTTAGACCTATGGCACTGCTTAGTAGGCATGCACCATGGCTCCGCTTCCTAGGATTTTGCCTACCGCCGACTAAATTTAACACACACATCTCAGGATGCACCCATCTGTGTGTCTCCTATAAAAATACCCTGAATTATAAGGCAGTTCCTACATGCACATACACACATGCCAGCACACAGGATTGCAACAGCCAAATGATCAGTTTGCTACATATGCAAAAACACTAATTAGTGTCATACCTACTTTATACCATTTTAGTTTAATAGCTGCCATTACATTATAAGAACATTACAATGTAACACATAAACAAAAGGAAAGGATAACTGGATCCTTGCCATAAATATAGTCCTGTTTATTAAGACTCTGAGAGTAGAGAAGAGACAGGGAGGGGGATATATCACAAAAACAATGCATATTTATAAACATGCATATATACATACATTTGATTATTTTATTTATTGAGCATCAGTGTTCCTATCGAAGTGCATTGTGTAAACAAAACATGTAATTGATGTAACAACATGTAAAACAACCTAAAACCATGTAAAAGTAATTGATAAATATTTGACGTGCACATGGAGGTACAATGTATGATGTGTGAAAGTCTGGAATATGTATATTTGGATGAACATTGTATGTATAGATGTATATAAGTATGGATTTTTTTTATATATATATATATATATATATATATACACAACTATGTGTAGGCACAGATGGATAACACATGTATGTGTGTACAGATAGATAATGTATGTACGCGTATATAGATAGATAATGTATGTACGCGTATATAGATGGATAATGTTTGTACACGTATATAGATGCATAATGTATGTACGCTTGTATAGATGGATAATGTATATACGTGTATATAGATGCATAATGTATGTACGCTTATATAGATGGATAATGTATATACGTGTATATAGAAAGATAATGTATGTACGCGTATATAGATGGATAATGTATGTACGTGTATATAGATGGATAATGTATGTACGCGTATATAGATGGATAATGTATGTACGTGTATATACATGGATAATGTATGTACGTGTATATAGATGGATAATGTATGTACGCGTATATAGATGGATAATGTATGTACGTGTATATAGAAAGATAATGTATGTACGCGTATATAGATGGATAATGTATGTACGTGTATATAGATGGATAATGTATGTACGCGTATATAGATGGATAATGTATGTACGTGTATATACATGGATAATGTATGTACGTGTATATAGATGGATAATGTATGTACGCGTATATAGATGGATAATGTATGTACGTGTATATAGATGGATAATGTATGTACGCGTATATAGATGGACAATGTATGTATGCATATATAGATGGATAATGTATGTACGTGTATATAGATGGATAATGTATGTACGCGTATATAGATGGATAATGCATGTACGTGTATATAGTTGGATAATGTATGTAAGTGTATAGATGGATAATGTATGTAAGTGTATATAGATGGATAATTAAGTATGTGTATATAGATTGATAATGTATGTACATGTATTTATAGATTGATAATGTATGTATGTGTATACAGATTGATAATGTATGTATTTATGTATGTGTGTATATATAGATGGATAATGTATGTATTTATGTATGTATGTGTATATAGATGGATAATGTATGTACGTGTGTATATATAGATGGATACTGTATGTATGTGTATATAGATGGATGAATTTATAATATATATAGTGATTTTTAATGCACCACAATTAGATGGAATATGAAAGTAAAATGTTATTTAACTAATTGAGTAATTACAAAAAGCAAATTAAATAAAGGAAGGTGATGCTAACTCTGCCCATTGAGATAGGAAGAGTTAAGCTAACGTGTGCCAAATATCAGCTATGGAGCATGTTTCCCATCTTGTACACAGCCTGTCTCATACTGGCACATGCTCATGTTAAATAGACAGCTGATGTGTTCTTTGTTGTGACAAAGTGAAATGCCTACTAAAAATCAATTTAGGGCTCGTTAATTTCATTGAAATAGCAGCTAACTGCGGTAATTAATCCTGAGTAATTGATCCCAGTTAAAGATCTGTAATGTTTGGTTAATAGATTCAATCCCTACACAAAGAGCTATAATATAGACTATCCTTACTCATTTCCGTCTCAGTCACCTAAATCCAAAGCACAATATTGAATAATTGCAAATATTGAATAATATAACGTGTGTGCCATTCACAGTAATAAGGTTCTTTTAAATGACCTTTAGGACTATATCCCCAGGCTCATATGTGCATATGTACCTGTTTTCATTTTTACCTGTAAAGGCAGACCAGTGATTAATTGCTGACTAATGATTTATGCCATTAGTCCATTTCTCACTGGATGCAATTTCTATCCATAATCCATGAAGATGTGAATCAGAAAACATACCGCCATGACCAATTTTTCAGAAAGTTGCAAAGGACAAGTAGAAATGTATTCATACGAACCCATTCCGCTCTGCCAGTACTCTGCCATAATCCTACCCATGATTAATGGAAAAGTTCTTTATCCTTGCCTTTTTCCTATTTTTTATTTAAAAGGGACACTCTGAACCCCTAAAGCTCTTTAGCTTGCTGACATGGTTTATTTCATTTTACAAAAAAGTGTAGATCTCAGTAGAAATTAACACATTTATAAATGAAACTTGTTACACCCCCTCTGGTTATCAGTCAGACAACCAGCCCTCTTACTTCCTGGTTTGTTTAGCTCAGTGGAGCTAAACTTAAAAAGCAGTAAATGCTCAGAGCACCTGCCTTGCAAAGACTTCCCATTGGTCTGCAGTGGGAAGCCTGTGATTGGACAGCCACATACATATTGAGAAAGGCAGGGCTTACAATGGCTGCAGACAAGAGAACTGCAGCTTTTGTAAGCTGTTTTATAGCAATACCACCAATTAAATACATACATGTTTCCATGGGGGGTATATCTACTAAACAATGATTTATTTATTTTTTTGCACTGTCCACCTTTGAAGTGGAGGGCTAGTGGATTCAAAATGTTTGTCCCTTTGGGCGGTTCTGGTTACGTGATTTGCATCAGTGGCCCCACCCTTTTACCTCGCCCACCGGAATCCTGCTTCACCAGCATTGCTGTTAGAGGGTATTGATTTGCTTGAAAGATGAAAGTGAGAGATTAACATAGGGTATGCTGTGTGTTTCCCTCCAATACGGAAACTGTGGGACTACTAAATATTCATTGGAATATTCGTGTTCAGGATGGTTTATTTTGTGTTACTTTACATTTACTTAATTTTTTCCCTTTTTTCCAAATGTTGCTGATAACTTGGTACATTTGGCATATAATCTGTGCCATGTTGTGGTAGAACTTGTTGTCTAGGTGAAAGCATTGTGTCACAAATTGTAATGTTTTGGATGTCTGAACAGATTTTGTTTTAGGCTGTATTAGTGACATGTACTTTGAAAGATTTTGTATCATTTGCACTACTGTAACTTTTTTGAAAATTCAATAAAATTGTATAAGTGGGAAAAAAAATGCCAGTGTGAAAAAAACATTCTTTGTCCCCTGTCACTCAGAGGATTGAAATATAGTATAAAAATACAGAAACACTCGGGTATTCACTGAAACCGTAGGGAATTCATAAACAAACTGACTTTTTTTCAGCCAAAATCAGGATAAATCTTCCAATTCAGAATTTTTTTCCAGTTGGGCTATTTGATCCAAACACACTGGCCATTTCTAATTGTCTACAATTCCTGTTTTAGTGAGAAAGAAAGCTGAAATAAATTCCTTAGATTCCTCTACTTACACAATAACACTGATTCCAAATATAAAACAAGTAGATTCTATAATATTTGTTTTTTATATAAAGTTCTTTCAAACTATCCATTTATTAATGGATTAACACTAGCTATTGGGTTGGTATTTTGGGTATTCATCCCAACACAGGCTTAGTTCAGCCTTGGGCCATGTGTTATTTATTACTTGATAATGAACACTGCACATGAGACCACGTATTCAATGCAGAATGAATAATAGACACACTAATCAGAAATATGGTCCTATCTTTCAGTTTATATTGACACAGCATGTGATCCCAGGCCTAGTCCTCTCTCCTCGCATGCTGTAACAATTTCCTATCACTATTACTATAGCCAGAATGAAAGCCATCCATTGGAGATGGGGTCAGCTTTCTAATATATTTGGCCATATATCATACATTATCTGCACTATGTATGATATGCTAAACAATTATCAACATAATAACAATAGTAATAACAATAGTAATAATAACAATAGTAATAATAATACATTTTGTTTTAGCTAATGTTGTATTGGGCCCTGGGTTTAGATGAATTGTACTTTTTGACTTCTGTAGGATGAAAGGCTAACCTTTTGGGAATCCCACCTGTGAACGGGAGGTACTGCAGCTCGAGTCCTAACTAGCTGACTTGTGCAGGACATATTGTAAAACATAGGGATCCAAACTAACACTGTCTACAACACAATAAACTGCCTACAGCAATGCCATTGCTTAATGTATCACAGATGGTGGAATGATTTACCCAAGAGACATAAATTTGCTGCCATGCCATGTTGCATGTACATTATCATTTCTATGTATTTAGTTAGCTGTTGTATATTTTAGTGCCCTTCTGTCACGGCTGTCCTCACAACGTACGATCCTGCACAGCCTACAGCCAATATAATGCGTCTTGTCCCCACTACATTCTGCTTTATAATAGAAAGACAAACACCTGGATCTACTGCACTGAGCATGCGCACAACCATCGTTTGGTTCAGCTGAATGACGGCCATTCCTGACATCTGTCATACAATATGGGCTTGTTACAAATTCCTTGCTTCTTATTATCAGCCAGTAGCAGCTACTTACTGACTGAAAAACTTCACAAATAGCTACAGGGAGTTACCAGCTGCCTTTACCTACTAACTAACAGTTAATACCTCCCACCATTCTCTATGGGAACCA